GGGGGAGGCGCGGGGGGCCCTGGCGGCCGGAGCGGGTGTCCCGGAGCCCGGCTTTACCCGAACCCGCTTGCCCTTCCTCAGCGCTTGCCTGCAGCGGCGGCCCGGCCTGCCGTCCCGGTTTCCCACAGCCTCTCCGCCCGCCGGCGGCTGTAGGCCGCAGCCCGAAGGGAGGAAGGCCGCCCGCCGGGGCACCGGTTGGCGACCCGCGGGTGTGAGAGGTGGGAAGGGCCGGTGGGTGCCCTTCGCCAGCGGCAAAGGGGTGTCGCTTCCCTGTGGTTGGGCTGGAGGAAGCGATACGGGCTGGTGTGAAATGGCGATCTGTTCGCTGATAATTCACTACAGAAAAAAAAAAAAAAGAAGAAAATAATCTCACCAGGCCAGAAAATTGGCCACAACATTAATTTGCATCTTTATGTCGGCGCAGTGTGTCATTAATACACCATTGGCATTTTTGCCGCCTTTAACTGAAATACGGCGTGTGCTGAACATTCAATAAATTGGAAAAAGAGATAATTCTGTAGGAACAAGAGGAATTCGTTTATTGTCCAACTTTCCTGTCCAAATTAAAACAAAAAAAAATAGGGTCTGAACAAATTAAAACTGCACATTTCACCTGTGGTTAGAACGTACTGGCTGGGCAGGAGAAAAAGTTCACAGCAATAACCCAGCTTGACTCTGCAGATACGGGAAGTATGTGCTTGTAGCAAAAGCAGCAGGGGAGGAAGCGCCCTGTCTCCTGTGCCGTGATACTCTATAAATGATGGCCTGAGCATGAAATCGTCTTCACCCCCACCTGCCCTCTGCGCCTCCCAAAATGTCTATCCGCACGGCCTGCTTCCACCTTTTGGCTGCAAATGTTACCTCATTTTAGCGCGGCACTCACACAGTGCTGTGGCCTGTGCAGGCGTGTCTCTAACCCATTAGGCTGAGATAGATCATGCTCCAGTCAAACTTCACGGCATAAGGCAATTGGCGCTGCTTTTTTTTTTTTTTTTTTTAACTTCCTTATGTTCTGATCGATTTTGATATGCAGTGTAAATGTCTCTGGTACGTATAATGTATATCATTAACACAAGCCTGAGTAGGTTTGATTGCTCTTTGGTTAGAACGAAATAAAGGAGCACATGTTTCTAGCTCCAGTGGTATGTAATTGCCATGGCTGTGCGCGCAAGAGAAAAAGAAGCGGCGCTTTTCTTCTTCCCCTCCTGTTGGGAAAAGACGATCCCGTTTGTGGCTCTAACTTTTATGTGCAAGTGGCGTTTGTTTAAAATATTCCCTCTTCAGAACGAGCCGATTATCGTGGCCATGCAGTGCCTGGAAGCAGAATCAGCTGGAAAACCCTTATCTCGTGTCCTGAGCAATGAGGAAGCTTGCACATTTGCTATCTGGCAGTCCAGGGAGGTGTAAACTCTTACCTTTGCCCAGCACAGGGTCCTGGATAAGGAAACCAGAACGACAACGTGCAACAGTCGTCTTTATCCAGCACCTCGACTGGACGGGGCGCTCCTGATGTACAAGCCCAGCAGTGTGGGGGTAAAAACGCATTTCTGCTTGAATAGATTTGGTACTGCTATTCAGGAAAGAAGGAGTCACATATAAGTTACTACATTGGCTGAAAACCTTTAATTTTCCCTGAAGTGAATGAGAGCTCCTGGTGTTCAGCCCTTTCCGGGTGAGGGCCTTCTTTCTGTGGCCGACTCCTGAAGAACAGTCATGAACTATCACTATTGCTATTTAGCTATTACCGTTACTGACCTATTACTAGTATTAAGTACTTAACTTAGCTGTACACCAGTATTTAGCCACAATAGCACTAAGGTTAGCGTTACAAAGGGTAGCTGTGGGAGCAATGCTGCTAGTGTCCTTTCTCCTCCGGCGACAGAAGCAGCTGCATAGTGTTTTTTCAAGAAAAGACAGATGATTCCGTCAACTTGCGTGGGCTTTCGTACCATTTGCAAGGCCTATCTAAATTCTCCCTTCAGTGGCAACAGGATAACAAACCGTCTTTGTTAACAGTTTTTTCCCAGGACACATGCTGGCACGAAATAGGTGCCACTGGCACATTGCAGACCAGCCATGGCTACACTTTGGGAAGTTGTTCTGCTGCACAGTGTTTGCAAAATAAGACGAGGTCTTGTGTGGGCGAAAAGTGATAAATATGTGCAAATATTTAGTGTTGCGTTCTGCAGCCTGGGAACACCATTTGGGCCGGCCTTGTAAGAGCAACATCTCTTGGGGATTTCACTTCCTCGTGTAATTTGTTGTCGATGCAACATGGCAGATTAGAGTTCAGCCTCGGAAACTGCGAGTCGTTTCCTTCTATTCCTATTCGACATACATTTTTGCTCAAACTTGTGAACTGCTTCCATCATTTTTGGGTGGCAGTACAGATGCACGCATTTAACACCTCTCTCTTCTCCTTCCTCTTTCTGAAACCGAGTCCAGTTGTACCAAACTCTGAACTGAGGAAACCTGTCATTTCTCATCCAGAAGGAATGTATGTAAATTTGTCATCTTAATTGATGCCTCTCCACGAGTTTCATATAATCAGCCCTTGTAGCTTAGCGTGCTAATGAACAGGGTTAGTAGAAATCTAGTATGTTAAAGGAATGCAGACCAATTTGTCTGAGTCCTGCTGAGACCTGTGGTATAACTTTTGGGAAGATTTACTCGTCTCTCTGTTATCTTTCACTTAGCCGCCTTTCCCTCCTGTTTCTGTTGGTCCTCTGCGAGCGGAGTGATTCTCCAAAGCGGACGGAAAGCTCTGGGAAGGCGTGCAGAGGGGCCAGGGGGAGGACGTACGGAGAAGGCAGCAGCGATGGTAAATCCCCTTTCCCTCCGGCACTCGTGCAGATCTGAAGGAGACCGCACGCGGCCAGAAGCGACACAGCGAGGGCTCTGCAGCGTCGCGTCTCAGCTCAGAGGAGCAGCTTTTTGTATGCCTGGTGAAAAGAAGGATGGGAGTCCGTCGGGAGCTCTGCTGGGAGCAGGAGCAGGAAGCAGTGCCGGGCAGGGAGGTGGCCGTCTCAGGGTGGTCCCCTGAAGCCCCTCTGGGTCTCCTGGCTCTGCAGGTTGCAGCCGGGTCTCTCCAGGCCTGCCAAATCCTTGCTTCCTCAGGGGCATTCCTGGAAATCTTTGCAATTTCAGCTTCAGTCTGTTCGCCAGTTGCTGTGTATTTTCAGGACCCTCCCAAGTGGTGCTCAGCTTGCACCAGGAGGTCAAAGCAAGCTGGAACCCCCCCATAAAGGAACCGATGGGGTAGATGCTGCCATGGCGTTCGCGTGGTGTTTGTGGAGCATCCCTCTCCCCTACCTTTTGCCAGCCTCATCCTTTTCCCCCTGGAAGCTGCTCAGAGCAGGCACTGTGGTGTGCAGTGCCCAGGACAACGGCAGCCCTTTTCAAATGGCTCCTTAGCGCTGCCATAATAAGCCTGATAAATAAAACATGGCTTGCAGACACGGATTTACTGGAGAGGGCTAAGGGGGCTGTAGCTCCCTCATTAGTATCTCCCCGTGCAGCATGTGTGCTCCTCATTATGTGGCACAGTGGCGGTTGTCTAGTCATCCACGATGAGGCTGCAGCCACTCCAAGGATGCGCCAGGGATCCCAGGGATTTTTTTTTTCTTCTCCTGTGTTAATAAT